CCTCCCTGAGTAAATACATCTGCTGGGTGTGTTTATTCAAGATATAATGCCTTGTGTTTAAATGTTGTACACACCATAAGTGTGTGCTTCTGTCTGTGTGTGTGTGCTGTGTCAGGGTGTGTATCAGTATCTGTGTGTGCAAGGGTGGAGCTGATGACTAGGTGTTCAGGAATGAAGCTCATTTGCAATTTTTTGTGTGCGATGCAGATCATTAGGGTCAGACATTAGGAACTATGTGGACCATCACTGTCGGTTCTGCTGTTCTAGGTCTTTTCAAAACAAGAACTGTTTTCTCTTTTGGGTTCGTAATGCTTTGAGATAACAAAAGTAGCCGTTCTGGTTCATTTGGTTCCTTAAGTAATATATGTGCAAGTGAATAGTGGAAAAAAAAGTGTCTGTCTATTTTTTTTTACACATTCAACTTAGTTTCTTTTCAGCAGTGTAAAACAGCGGTTCCCAAACTGGAATGTGCAGTCTGACCACCAGGAGTGCACGAAACAATATAATGGTTGAAAATTTTATCTTTTATTATATTCATGCATTTATCTTGAGTAAACTTCACATCATATTTTTCAGAGAAAAGAAATTCTTTTTCAGAGAAAAGAAATCACTGTGAGAGAAAAAAATAAATCACATTTAACGTTTTACGTCTGCGTCACAATAGCCCCACCCTTTCCCATTAGGCGCTAATTGATAGTACATTTGTAATTTTTTTCTGCTTACTATATTCATCAAAATGGACACCTGGTTAAAAATGGGCACTGTTAAGAAGTCAAGTGACGGTAGGGATGAACCATCTACATCGGTCTCTTCTATGGAGCTGTGCAATAAATGGACTTGGAGGATAACGAACAAGGTGAAGAGGCATAGACAGGAATGGAGAACTTCAGCAGAGATGTACTGATGAAGAGAATTAGGCCTACGCTAAAGAGTGAGAAAATGTCAAGTAAGAAACGCAAATATAGTGATTGTTACATTGGTTTTGTGTTTACATGTATTGGAGATGCAGAAAATCCAAATCTGCAATGTGTAGTCTGTGATGAGGTTTTAGCTAACTGCAATCCTAAGCCCTCATATGGTCCGACACTTACAAACAAGACACAGCCACTTACAAGACATGCCTGTAAGATTTTTTTTTAAAGAAAATTGGGGAACTGCAGAAGGAAAAAAGAAAGCACAAAGGAGCTAGAGCTTTCATCCGAAAAAGTTGCATCATCGGTTTGCTGGGTACACTGCAGTCTACCACCAAGAAGCTCTATAAATGGAAAAACATACCAGAGGATCTTTTGTCAGTACTTAAAGACACTGTGAAAATTGTCAACTTCATAAAATCTCATCCAATAAATTAACGTTTTATTATTTTTATTTCAATCACATACACAAAAAATATGGGTATTTAATTATTGTAGTTAAAAATGTGAAGTTTAATCGGAGAAAGGGGTGCTTGACAGGTGTCAAATATTAGAAAGGGGTGCACACAGCAAAAAGTTTGGGAACCAGTGTTGTAAAATATCATCAATTTCAGGCTTATTGATGCGCCACTTGCAGTAAAATCCTAAATAAATTCACAAAGAAAGTATATGTCAAGATTATATTGAAGCATCCGTTTATATTTTCTAAAACTACCAACCACAGAGTTATAGGGTCAGGAAAAAATTCAATCTGTTAACATGTTTTATATTTTAAATGAGGAAAATAAACATGCGTTATAGATGTGACCAAAAAAGTCGGCAAGTTTACAGTATACAACATGCCTTGTAGAAATTCTGTGAATTAAACTGCACCACCCAAAATAAATAATGCTAATCAAAAGGATAAGAATTGGCTCTCTATAGAACAACATGGTTGATTTTATTTATTTATGAGGAAAACGTTTTGTTATGGATGTGATGGATATGAAATTGCCTCTTGTGTGACTTTGTCGATGTTTTCAAATAGTTAAATTTGATTCATCAGAGACATTTTGGAGTGTTTTTGCAGTACTGGGAAATACAAGCCTACAAAAAAACCTACAAAGGGTTTCACTATTTTGGTAAACTTTTTTTTTTCATGGCAAGCTTGACATTTGCATGGAATTGCTCATATGTGAAAGATCTGCAAAGATACAAAGTCGTCTCCAAAAGGAGCTATTCACTATACCTGTAAGCACTGTTTCTGAACACTCTCTCAGACACCTCGACTGTACTCATCACAATATCCTAAATTAACATAATTCCTGCCTAAGGGGATGTGGCTTGTTTGAGTTGTATTAGTAGTGTAGTGTGTTGTCTTCCTGTCTGAAAGATGCTGTTTCACAGATCTAACACACTGATAAATGATGAATGGTATTTAAAATGATATATTGATATCGGCCTATAGATCATTATCAGCTTAACAACAAAATACTGCATGCTGCACTTTCTGTAATGATATTATCATGCTACTTCAAGCATTAAATAAAGGTTCATCCTTTTGATGGATGTTATTGTGAATGATTTGTCAGTTTATTGCTGTTTTGCCAGTCATGTTTTGTTTGACCTCAATCTTCAAAATCAGATTACTTAAAAAAATAAATAAATAAAATAAAAATAGCTCCGTGTTATGGTTGAAAACAACAATGTCTATCTGGTGGTGTATGTCTGATTTCAGACATTTAATCTGATTAAACTCTCAATTTCTTATCTTCTTGTTTTTAAAAGCAAATTTTCCTTACTTTTCCCTTTTTTTTAAATAATATATTTTGTTTAGATAAACATCGCAATATGAATTAAAACAAGTAGTTACCTCCACATTTCATAACAATTTAAGCTTTCTAGATCTAACTTTTTGTAAACTGTCTCTAAAATCTGCATTGTACCTGTGAAATTTTAGTACTGTTTAGGGCTGCACAATATATCGATATCACAATGTGCACATCTGCAATAGTCACATCGCAGGGTCTGCAATGTTGAGTTGGGATTCTGTAATTTCAGATTATATACAGTGTTCAGCATAATTGAGTACACCTATTTTGAAAGAATATTTTCATCAATTTCTCAGTCAATATAGGCAGTGTATTTTGGTGCATTTCAACAAAACTGATTTAATAAATGGATATATTTATTAAAATAATATTTTAGTCACCAACTATATTCAGAAATTGAAAGATAATACAATTAAATTTAAGGGAAAAAAAACTACAACCTGCACATTTTATTTTTCTTCTTTTTTAAGAATGTGTATTTAATATTTTTCTGACCGTTATCGTAAGCTTTTTTTGTTAGATAAGCTCCAGATTTGGATTCAATACTGACTAATATAGATGCACAAATATAATATTGAATAGCTTCCTATTAAAAAAATATTAAGTTAAAAGATATATTTGTGAGAGGTGTAATTTTTATATATATATATATATATATATATATATATATATATATATATATATATATATATATATATATATATATATATATATATATATATATAGCTGTAGATTTAAAATAAAGGTTAATATGAGTGGGCTATTATTATTGTTATTCTCAAACATGTGGTAAAACAGCAATAGGCTTTGTGTAGCTGTACTGGTTGGTTAAAAATGCTAGTGGTGGACTTGAACAGACTTTAGATTTGTCCTGGTCATTAAGGCTGATGATAAATCTGATGTTGAATTATTACCTGTTATTTACAGCATATGCAGGTTCTGTTCACCTAAAGTAGACTTCATTCAGAGGCGAGCGCGCATCCGCCCGCCCTTCCACTGGTAACAGCTGACGGTCAGCTCACGTCACATGTGATTTTGCAGTCGCAAATACATTACATGAAGACAGAAATGACATTTTTGAGGTGAATTATATTTTATAAATACAGCATGTGATTCTTTCAACACCACTTGGAGGTGTCCACATTGCTGAACGATGTATGTAAAATAATGTGAAGACTTGTGCGGCCACCATTGCTTCTCTCCTGAACTTGAAAATATGATTGACAGATTCGTAGAAATGCTGGATTAACATCATCTAGGGGGTGTGTGTGTATATATATATATATATATATATATATATATATATATATATATATATACACACACACACACACACACACACACACACACACTCCCCCAGAGAATCACGCCAATCAATCTAAAATAAATTAATTATTTGCAAATAAAGCTATTCAAGTTATTGCAATATATATTGCAAAAAAAACAAAATATCGCAATGTCAGATTCTTTCCAATATCGTGCAGCCCCAGTACTGTTATGTATATTACAACAGAAAAATGCTTATCATGTGATTTCTCAGAAGTGCATCGTCTATTACTCTATTCTCTAAGGTTGATTTTCCAGCAAGGCCAGACCAGGAGAATGGTTGATTGTGTAATGCTGGATCCTGTTTTGTTTTTCTTCAACTATTGCTTTTCCTATAGTGATTAGTACTTCACGATTTCACAACCCACCTGTAAAGTGTGTAAAGACATGTACAGATTAACCATTGAAGAGGACAGGAATGCTAGTCTTTGATTGTCTTTAGCTTTTGCTCCTTTTATAAAGAGGAATTCACAGTCCAGTGAATCTTAAATATATGATGTATTAGCAGTTGAATGGTGCAAATTGAATTGAATTTGTCTTAATTACTATGAACTTGCAATTAAATGAATCATATTAATTAGTGGTTAGAACAAGCTCAAAATACTTTTATTACATATGCATATAAGAATCATGTGGTACTCTTATGTGCATACATGTTTATATCTCTATTTTATAATGATATGCATGTAATTACAATAATTTCTGTTATCACGTTTATAATTACACTGTTGACCCCTCCACCCAACATGTCCTTAACCTCTCATCTCAATAATACCATTTTGTGTTGTGCAATACTATATAAACACAATACATTGTACGTACTATTTGACGTCAGTAGTTAAGGCCACTTAATATAAAGTGGCCCCACATGATTTATTGTCCATGTAATTTACAAGTCTGGCAGAAATGCTGAATGAGGGCTCACTAAATGTTTTGTGTTTTTGTGTGTCAGGCTTTGTGATGTCCTCGGGCCGTGAGTCTATAGGGGATCTGATTCCCCTGGATATGCTGCAGGTGTTCAGTGAGGAGCGTCAGCATGGCAGAGGCAAACGGGGCGGCAGAAGGGCAGCATCCTTCAGGCGCGCGTTCAAGTGGTTCAAGAGCCAGCGCAGGAAAACTCGCAGACGTGCTACTGAAAAACATGGAGACCTGCTCGCCACTGGATCACCTGTGGAACTGCCACCAGCCACACTTAACACAGGTAATACTCTACATTTACCACAGTGTACTTCCGACAGCAGTGTTTTTTTTACATGTGTGTTAAAAGTGTGTAAATTCATATTTATTCCGTTTTTAAAAATTAATTTCAGTAGTATTATTGACTAATATGAAAATGTTCTGTTGATTTATTTACAATACACTTTTAGTAGATCTATTACATGAGAGACTTGCTTTGTTTACAAATTAAGTGGATCTAATTGGTTTTGCATTGTAAACATAAATAAAAGTTAACTATTATTTTTATTTTATATATTAAGTTTTTAGTTGTGATACACCCTAAATCATTAAGAATTTTTTAAATTCTGCATAGAAATAGCAAAATATTTCTGCAGATGACAAAAATTGCTACTTGTGTGATATTGCATTTATACAACAGTTTGACGGCATAATTGTGTATATAAAAGCAAAATCAAACATGGAGAGTCTCAAAAACCCTTTTGTATGAGGAACTACTTTCTTCCGGATTCAAATCATAAGCTGACGGTTAAACAGTTGTTGTTAATCTAGTTAAAAATCTAGTTCTATTTTTTTATACAAGTTTGTTACGGTGACTGGCGATGGAAAATTATTTAATCCATTTTTCATTTTAAAAGACTTTTTATATTACATCTGATGTGAAAGCTAAATTGAGGCAATATACATGCATACAGTTTTGTTTACAGTTTAATAAACGTACATCTACATCCAAGGACCTTACAGCTTGGACTAGTGCTTTTGTATTTTGTTTGCACTAATTAGCTTGTCCACAAATTGTAAACACTAAATATTCAATATACACTAAATATTAAATATTCAAAAGACAGTAGGAGACAGAACAAGAACTTTTTTTTTCTGAATACAGAAAATTTTTACTGAAAACAGTAAAAAACACTTGATGCCCACATTGACAAGTGCATGGGTCATATATATCTCATAATCTCATATTATATCTCATAACTTTGAGATAAAAAGAAGACAATGCACACAATTACATTTTTGTAGTGTGCATGTGTTCTTTCATGCTAGCAAAAACCTTATACTTTGACTGTGTGCAGGTACACCAATGTAAGAGTGAAAAAACTAAGTACGCTGTGGGGTTTGCATACAGTGTACACATATCCTACCATCCTCATAACTCGTCTACTTTGGGCTTTCAAGCTTTGGTCTTTTGTAGTTCATTGTTTACTGGTGGGACTTTTTCTCTCTTCCTCTTTGCTTGGAAGACTTTGTTGGCGTATTGACCACATGGGAACCTAGTTTCACATCAGTCATTTCATAAACTGGTTCTGTAAACAAATGTGCTTCAAGGACGTTACGAAAGAAAGGAAAAGTGCAGCAGGTGTAATGAACAAAATGTTCTAGGGAAGCCACATTAACATGTTATAAGTCTGTGTTTATGAATTCAAACTATACATTTTACTATTTCATGCATTCTCTAGAAATTAAATCTGCGACCAAGCAAAATGCTTTAAAATAAAATTATGCAGAAACCGTTTTCACTTAGAAACTGCTATGATTATTCTAAAATTTAATTATTCTAAAAAAATGGCAAGCAATAATAAATTAAACAAGACATAATTGTTATAACCATAGAAATACCTTTTTTTTTCTTAGAAAAACTCAACTCGACTTGCATGAGTTTTATAAACCTAAAAGCTAAAATAACTTTTTCCAAGATCATTTTACACTTTTCTTCAAGGAAACTATAATACAATCCAGGCCAACCATTTTTTCCACTTACTATATTAAACTAAGAAGAAGGGAAAAATACATTTTATTAGCTTTAATGTGCAAAAATAAGAAAATCGAAATGAGTAGTTCATTTGGCCAACACATGCTAGTTCATACTATAGTTCAACCAGCAGTACAAGCTGTTTTTCCTTATGAAAATACTTGCATTACATTTGCAAATAAGAATATTACAGTAAAATGCAAGTTATGCCCTGGTGGAAAATGTGTCTCAGCTGTTTTAAAACATTTGGTACAGCAACACCGTATTAAAGGTGCAGTATGTAAGTTTGACATGCAATGCTTGAACTAGGCATTGAACTCCTGCCTCAAAACACATGCAATCGCAAGTTGCCAGATTGACATGAGTGTACCTGAATATCGAGCCTAAATGCTGATTTTAGCCGTTTTCTAACTAAAAGGAACAGCACATGATAAGTTACAAAACAAATCTCAATTTTTCAGCATACATTTAATAATGCTAAAAAGGTTTAATATGTGTTAAATAGATTATAAACCTCACCATTTCGTAAGTGAGTGCATATTCTCTGCTTCTGAATGGCTGTATTTCTGTCGTTTTCATTTGGTGCAAACCGCCAAATTGCTTATCACTGCAAATCTAGTCATGAGCATGTTTTTGGGATACAGGGTTACAATGCAACCTCCTCACCTAATGTTTACTTTCGTAATATTTAAATTGGTCACACTTTATTTTGATGATCTGTTTGTTGAATTTAAGTTACATTGCATCTACATGCCAACTAATTCACATTAGATTATAAGTAGACTGTTAAGTTGGGGTTTGGGTTGGGTTAGGATTAGTGTAAATGGACATTTACTTGCAAGGTTTCTTATAGTCAGTTAAATGTCTGTTAAAGAAGCAGTATCAACAGATATCAAGCAGACAGTCTACTAAAACTCAAATGGACCATTAAAATAAAGGGTTACCTTTATATTACTTGCTAATTAATACCCTAATATGGAACTCTGATTCTGCGTTTCATTTCGGAGTCTGCTACGGTCTACCGGAGGTTGCATTTCGGTTGCGGATGCATGCTTTGAGAGCAAGGCAACACGGGCTGCTGAAATATAATTGGCTAAACTGGCATTGGGCGGGTTAAAATAACCAAAACAAAGGCAGTGTTCTGGCACAGAAAACACGTTTTCAATGGAGAATAACTGACTTAAGCATTTTTCAGATAAACAAGAATGTTCACTTGGGATGTTTCTTAAATATCTGCAAACATATTATGTTTTTTTTATGCTTTAGAAGAGTCAAAAACTTACACACAGCACCTTTAATGTTATCTGACTACTCTATTAACCTAAAGTGAAAGATTGGCATATACAGCTTGTAGGTTTGTATGTAAACTGTACAAAGTGTTTGTGATCTTAAAGGCTTTGACTTGTGTGGTTTCGCCCAACCTGTTAAATGTTGAGTATGTATTTCAGTAGTGGGTAATGTGTTCAGACATTAAGTCATTTCTGTTCAGACAGTGTGATTAGTAGTGTAATCCCTTTAGGTCATCAGTTTGGGAAACTGGTTTTCAGTGTTCACCGACATTTTTGTTTTAGTGCTAATAAGATTTATAACACAGCTTTTAATATAATTTTTTTATTGTCTCTTTCTAATTTAACTTCTAATTCTTCACTTTTGTTGTTTATGTTTTGTGTCAGGCCAGAGATGAGATGGGCTTTATTAATAATTTGTTTTGTATTGTTTTCTGAGGTCTATTTGTGATGTTATTAGGATATTTGCATAGAAAACACAGATAAATATTTAAGTATATTTCAATCAATAATAACAGACAAATCAATAGTGACCCCATGATGATAAATTTGTCACACTGGTCTGGAGCATTACATTATAAATAAAGACCAAAGACTGTACTTGGCACTATGCAGCAAAAACTCAAAACGTACTAATTAAACACCACGCTATATTTTATTAACAAAGTTGAGCAACGTTTAAAAATGTTGTCAGAGTCATTTTTTTAAAAAGCTTTATTTTAGACATGACTTAAAATGCATTTGAAAAGAGAGAGAGAGACAATAAAAAAATGTTAATTTAAATTGTCAAAAAAAAAAAACAGAAAACAAGTCAGCTAGCTATATAGTACACTTACCTGTAATTATAGTACAAATAGATGACAATATAATAGAATAACAATGATAATATCTTTATAAACATGCAGTAGCCCTATAAACATTTACAACAAGCCAATACAATTTTTAAATGTATTATTTAACTCAAATCACTTCTCTCATTTAGCATAAAAAAGGCTTTGAACTTCATGTGTGTTCCAGGTAAATAATACCAGCATAGAGTAGACTTACTGTACATCTGAGCTTTTCAGTTCAGCACTGCAACTGCAAAGTGATTTAGTGTCCAGAAAAGCACTGTACATAAATGTAACAAATTTTTAAAAAACTTTTAAACTTTTTCAGTTTATTAATAACAATTTGCATTTGTAAAATGTTATTATTATTGTTAGCAGTATTACTTATATGCATATTAATATTTGTTTTATTAAAAACAAGCTTAGATTTGCCCGCCTATCAGGTTTCAGACCATATGGGGCACAGCATTTGTATTAGGATATAACTCAGTTTTTTTACCTCATTTCAATATTACTGTTTATTTATTCGTTTGCTGGAAATTAGTACTGAATTTAGAAATAGTTTTGAAACAAATCTTTGCGCTTAACAAACGAAATTAATTATTTATAGGCTAATGGATGTCTGTGTGTACAAGAAGTTTCCCTATCCACGAGAGTGAAAGTAAATCATGAGGAGGCTCATCTCTCATTCTCGTGCTGCAGATGCTCTGTTTAACTGTTTTCTTTCTAATGAAATTATCAATTTTTCCAATTACAAAGTCCGTCATGTAAATAGCAAATGCGTTATAGCACGACTGGGAGATGAGACTCTGATTGGTTTATACTCAAAACACACCTATAACTCATTAAGAAAATAAACTCAACCCTTTTACCCTCAACCCTTTGCGCATGGATCGTCAAAATAGGGCCCTTAATGTCCTTTAGATATTTTTTCAGATACCCATATATTATTGTGTATATGTAAGCCGAAAGTAATCTAAAAAATGTTAGCCTTATGATTATCACCAGGTCATGTGTTTTCCATGCTGAAATTTCAACACACTAGAAAGATAAAATTTGGCCTTAACTTGAGGTCACTTGCTTTTTGTCCACTGAAGTGTTTACTTTAAAGTGTGCACTGTTTGCAGTACAGTTGCGGTGGAGCTTGGGGTCA